GCAGTTTTCTATTTGATCAAAGCTTTCAAAACAGCAGCCATAAGTCACATTATTTTCTAAACTTCTATCAATAGGCAAAATAGATACATATTTGTAGCAAAGAGAAAAAAGCAATTTAATAACTCTTTCTTTCTATGACAGTTTTTTGAACCAGCACTGATCTTGGTGCAAAATAAAATAAATATTTAGACTAAAGTAAAATGCATTTTAAAAACTGTGAGTGAGGGTAATTTTGCCAACTAAAATACTAAAAGAGGGAAAATAATTTTCAAAATTTCATTGTGTGTTTTAATGGCTGTGCATAATTATTAAATATGCTTTAATATCTCAAGGCAATTTTACAGTTTTAACTTTTTAGAATACAGCTCAGAATATTAAGTTGAGGGTTTTCAAAAGATATATCTGTGTCCTCTGAATTCTTACAGAAGATTGAAACCTGCCAGTAGGTACTGAAAGGGCTCCATGACCTCAGGAAAATCAATGAGGGTTCCTACAAACTGGTGGCCTGTGTGAAAGGCTGCAGTGAGGTATCCCCAGACCCTTCTCTTCTCCAACTCTCTCAGCCTGTCTTCATAGGAGAGCTGTTTCAGCCCTCTGATCGTCTTTGTGGCCCTGCTCTGGGTCCATTCCATGCTTTTTCTGTGCTGGAGTCCCCAGAGCTGGATGCAGCACACTCAGTGGGGTCTCATGAAAGTGGAGGGACAGAATCACCTCCCTTGACCTGCTGGTCACTCTTCTTGTGAACAAGCAAGAAGACTTGACTGCAGAATGTGGGTCTGTTTAAACTTCTTTCTTTGACCCCATCACTAATAGTTGGCAGCAGAGTAGCTCAGGTTTGATGAAAGAAATTGAGAATTTCACTTCCCCCTGCTTTCTAACCTGATGAGGAGGCCAAAATGTTGTGATGTAACAGGTATGAGGCAGAATTGCATCCAACCAAGATCTGTCTTCCATGCCACAAGGGGAAATTCTCTGATACAACTCAGGCTGTATATCAACTGTGATGTCTAATAAACACCTCTGCAGTGGTTGTATTTTAAAGGAAAATTATGAGCTCTGTTGTCAGCCTTTGAAGATGCATCTTAAGCACTAAAATCCAGCAGCCGTTTCAACGCAGTACCAAAGATGGGTGCCAAGTCTGAGAGAAATCAAATTTCTGACACAGCAATCTCAACAGTATTTTCTGTGGAATAGCTTCAGTATTGCCATTATTCTCAGCTGACTAATGTGCTCTAGGGAACTTGCAAGTGTCATCCAGACTGAAGATCTCATTGCAGGGGCCAGGAAACTTCAAGTTAAGGCTAACATTGCTGAGTATCATAATATTACTTCGGTTTTGGGCTGTAGAATTTTATTTTGAAGTAGTAACTAGGATTTTCTTTCCTCTGTAAACATCTTTCCAAAAGGATCTAATAAACCCGCTACACAGATGATTGAGCTTTTCATGTGGATGGCTTTTTTCCTCCTTTAAAACTGCCTATATGTCACTCTAATTAAAACCTGGCAGGTCATTAAATTACTAGAATGAAGAACCAGCATGATTTTCAGTCTTTATATTTTGCAGGACCTTTTTCAGTTTAGAGTGCTTTCCTTCAGTATCAGTGAACCAGTAGGAAGTCATACAGATTTATCCTTTTTCCTCTGCAAGGAGTGTCATGTTTCAGAGTGCTGCTGCCAGTTGCTCACTGCAGAACATAAGCTTACAGAATTCAAAGCCTTTTTTATTAACAGCAGATGTAAAGTAGCCCTGTCCAAATGCCAGGGTTTATTTGATAGCAAGGATATTTCTGATACCATATCTATGTTGAATAAATTCTCTGTCCTTTTTATTAAATGCCTAGAAGAGATATTTGCATGAAGAACAGATACACTAATTACCTTTTTTATTTTTTTTTTTTTGGAGGGTGTGATTTCCTGAGAGTGAATGATGACTGTTTGACAGGTATTCAGAAATATTAGTGGAAGATAAGGGCATATTTGTAATGGAAGCATAAAGGAGCTAATAACTAATAGAGGTTGATGGGGAAGAGGGAAGCAAAAGATGTGGATGCAAAATAATCTTTTTTTTTCTTTGAAATGGTGTATGATATCACAGGATTGACTGGCATTACAGGATCCCTGTAGTACTGCAAATTAAAATGGTTTTGAAGTTGTTTGAGTCAACCATTTCACAATCTGTACCAGAAAAAAAAAAGTTTTTATGTGACAGTAATGTTTCTGGGATATTATTAAGTAATTTAATTCAGTTTCACGAGTTCCATGCCCTGATCACTTATAGTCATGAAAGATTATGTATACATCAGAGAAACACTTTTTTGATGTGTTTGTTTATTTTCCTTGTTGAATTTATAATGCTGGTGTTTTGCTTCTACCTTCACTTCCACTTCACTGAGGAGTTAATTTGAGTAATTTGTTTCCACACAGAATGCCTTTCCAGAAAATCACAGAATCGTTGAATCATTCAGGTGGCATAAAACCTCAAAGATCACCAAGTCCAGCCACTAACATAACACTGTTGAGTCCACCATTTAACCTTGTCCCTCAGTGGCACATCTTCATCTTCGCATTTTTAATTACCTCCAGGGATGTGACTCCACCCTTCCCTGAACAAACAACCTGTCTCAATGTTTGGCAGTGATTTCTGTGAAGAAGTTTTTCTTAAAATCCAATCAAAACTCCCCCTGGTGAAATTTGAGGCCATGTCAGGTTCTTTATAAATGCAACATGTCCACTTTCCTCCCACCAATAGATCCACAGCCTTTCTTGAGGTACCTGCACTGATACTGAGAGTTCAGTTGCCTCATTTATGTCACTGGCTCATGCTGCTCTGATCATGGAGCACAGGCCAACTCTGTCCAGGCAAGCTTTTGGAGACCTTTTCTCACAGAGGTGAACATGGGATGGCCCTGCTGACATGCAGGACTGCTGAGGGGGAGGAGTGGACCCAGCATCTAAACGTTTCTGGTTTCTGTGGACTGGTATACATGCTTCAGCAAATAAAGCATGGCTATATCAGCAGAGTGTGTTTATCTTTGGCTTCTGTTTGACACTTGCAAAATTGTTACAGCTGGAGTTGTACGCAAATGATTTCTGTATTATTCATAGCAGCAGGTGCTGCAGCAGTCATTTGGCTAGAGTTGTACTCTCTTGGTCTATGGTTTCTATATATTTGATTAGCTGGTGCCATGCTGTTCAGATGGGTTGGTTGTCCTCCAATAAATGTATTTTGTTACACAATCAGTTATATAGCGCGTTATCATTTCCGTAAATCACTTCTAGTTGGCAGCTTTCTTTTGCCTCTTGAGATTGTTCCAGCAATAATTTGCATCCTTTTTTGTATGGCATCCTAAAAAGATCTTGGAAGTTAACATAGCCTGAGTGTGTTTTTAATAGCTGGTGTCCTTCTGGCAGCACTAGAACACACAAACCTGTTATCCATAAAGGACTGACGTATTTATTTTTGATTTATGTATCATTTATGAATTCTTCAAGAAGTGCTTATCCTAAGATGCAGTATAGCAATTTAGGCATCAGCAAGGCTTATGCCAGAGTTGTGATTCTAAAATCAGGTGCCTGTCCCCAGCCGGGGCGATAAACAACACTGCAGCTCACTGAAGACTGGAGAGACTATATGATATGCCTCACTCCAAAAGGCATCTCAAAAACCTGGCACACTCATGTGGGACCTGCTTGTCCCTGGCCAATTGACATAGCCATGCCTGAATTTCCTACTTCTCTGTGGAAATTAGATGCTTTGCCACTAATGAAACCTGATTTGGACTCACCCACTCATTATCTTCTCATCAGAAGTGACCACTATTCTTAATCCCTGCTGGCTAAAGATAGATCAACTTCAGCTGCTGCTCAGGCAGACCTTGCAATGGAGCAAGAGGCTCTTTTAGAATTAAATTCTCTTGCAGAAGGCAAAAAAAAATGTAGACTAGCTGTGCTTTCCCTATTATTAAGAGAGATGCCTAATCAATTTGGTTCGATGCTAAGAGGAGGAATTTTTCAATATCTCAGTAAAATTTTTCATTAAATAAAAGGTAAACAAAAAGCATGTTTTTATAGAGAGATTCCTATCAAGGCTGCAAAAGCAATATTGACTGAAGAGATAATGGAGCACTTGGTGCATCTGATGGAAAGGTGCGGATGGTTGCCCATGTGCAGACAAGCAGATAACAGGAACAGGGTGTGTCACTGCAAGGCACAGGACTGTGTCTTTTCAGCTGCCTGCATATTGGGCTCTTCACACTGGTACCTGGAGGAATCAGTTCACCCTTCTGTTTAATTAAAAAAAATTAGGTGCAGTTTCACCTATTATGCTACTTCCATTTACAGCCTGCATTGCTGAGGCAGTGGATGGATCTATGAAAGGAAATGCATTTAATCACTGTCAACAACCTCCTCATTTGGGCACTGAAAGCTATTAAAGAGAAAAGTAATGGACCAAGAGGTGCATCCAAGTGTGGTGTTAATGGCACCCCTTTCATTTAGCATGGCAAACCCAAAGCAGCAAGGTGAAAAATATTAAGAAAACAACGTGGCGGGTCAGTTTGCCCACAACCTCAGGCAGAGCAACCCTCTCTTGGTCACAGATGAACAGGAACTAGGCATCTACCTTTCTGAGACACCGTGTCCTATTTCTTGCCCATCAGTAGAGCTGACTACACAACTTTTTAGCAGCCTGTCTGCTCCCTGAGCCCCACCAGTATTGCAAGACCCTTTCAGGCATTTTACAGTGTGCTGTACCTTATGTATTCTGCTTGTAGAGTATGCTCCTAGACTCACTCACTGCGAGACAGGTGTGAGAATGGGTGCCAGGTTGTCATTAGCAAGCAAAACTAGCTATTCTGCATGATTTTTATTGATAAGCTCTGGATTTTATGCTTTGTGTAAGGTAGTGATGATTAATAATTACATTGATTGTCATCTTGAAATGTGGAATTTATTTGAAGGAAAAAATATACCATTATTAAAGAAAAATCACTTTCTTACAGATGCTGTTTCAGAAGCTGTGCAAGGAAAAAGCAGGTAAGGCTGCATTACTTCTTGAAAGTTTCTTGGTGGCTTGTGTAACCATGCATGCATTGATGGAGGACCTGGGGAGTCTCTGCTATGAAATGGGTGTTCAGTGCATTTGTGACAATCGCTTTCATGCTGCTGTTCATGACCTATTGGTGTAGGATTAAGGTGGTTCATAGGAAAGCTGATAATTCATCACCTTTTGACTTACACCTTGCAAGGTAAATTCTGAAATAATGGGGATAAACCCAAGCCTTTGTTACTGGTGTCAGAGTGGGACTGAAGGTCTTGCCATGGCGAGGTGTGTGTTATGTGTGAGAGAGGTAGGTAGAGATGAGGAACACCTCAGAGCTTTTTTTTCTCTGTGGTCACTCAGCAGCTGAATCTGATGAAGGGGCTCATTATAGAGGCATATTTTTCAAAAGATCTAACAGCCCCTTGGGACCCACATGTCCCAAGTGGCAGAGTCACAATGCCTGATTTCTCCCTTGGCAGGAGCACACTATCTGGTTGAATCATTTTTCATTATTAATAGCATTAGTGAGTTTCATCATTATGGAGGAATTGTTTAGGGCCAGCAAGGCACCAAGACTGGAGTAATAAGCATAGCTAAAGACTCAGATACCCTGAACTGCACATACATTATCATGCCAGGAGCTAAGGAAAGGTTTGGATAGACATATGTACACACACAGCGATCCTGGTTCAGCAAGATACTTAACACACAATTAAACTCGCATTTGACAAAACCAATTAATTGCAACAGGCATAAGAAACTGCTTGGATGATTTGCTTAATTGAGAGTAAATGTCCTTATTAAATTGTAATGAAGCACAATTAGGAAATACAGAGAAAAGGAACTGCTTCCCAGAATGTGGGTTACTGGGGTTTAATAACAGCCTCACAATTTTGCAAAAAGAAATGTTCCCAAAGTCTAGATGAATCCACCTTCCCACGAAAGTCTTTGCCAGCTAGAAATATTTCAGTCATAAACCAACTGACCTCTGGAGTCACCCATTTCTGACTGCATTTTCTGTTTTGTTAGTCAGGATGTGTGCAGAGAGTGCCAATTAAAAGGAAAGCAATTGGACATTGCTGCTGTAATTACCCCTCTGTCCTTAGATGACTTAGCATCTTTTTTTTGGCCTGAAGGACTAGTTTAAGCCAGTTTGTTCACTCAGTGATTTCTTCTTGCATCTGTCTCTGATCTAAACTGCATCCACAGTTCATTCCAAGGACCAGCCTTAACTAAGTTAAAATCAGATGAATGTGGCTTTTTGGAGTCAATTTCACTGATTCAGTGTCTCTGCTGGCAAAACATAGTGGCTTAGCAAAATGACAGAAATTCTGGGTTAGAAAACTCAGGTCTCCATAGGCAGTTTCACCCTCATGTGTTTTAATTAAGGTCAACAAAACATGAAGGCTGCTGAGCAAAGTGTAAATGTACGTATTTTCATTCATTAACTTTTGCTGCTTTACGATTTGGATGTGGATTCATTCCATGATGGTATTTGCCAAGGAAACACATGCCTGGGCTTTTCCAAAGCTAAACAAATTTCAGAAGTTCTGAGATTATTTGAGCAATTGTTTTAATTGTCTTCATTGTTGGATCAACACCTCTCTGTGCCACTGAAGGCTCACTTTATAAAGAAAAGAAAAACCTGTCAATGGCAATGCATTTTAAAGAAAATTAATTAATTTAGCAGTTTTCCCATTTTATAGTATTATTGATTTTTAATTATTTTACTTTTATGATAATATTAATTTTATCAGAGAGATAAAGTTTTAATGCCCATCCTAATGGGAGAACTGTAGGATGACGATTGAAAATCTGATGACTGCAAGCATGAAAGAAGAATGACGGTCATTTTCTGACACAGTTTGGTCACCAAGGTGAAACTTTAATCATAGAAATCTAGCATATGGTAGAGCTGGTAATAAATTTATCATTAAAATGCTTCTGGAAGAAAATGTCCATTTCTTCAAATAGGACATTTTACAGGAAAAGGTTTGCATCCATTGATCTATTTTAAATTGTTTCTGTAAAATAGGCACACACTTCTCAACATACAATGATTTAACAGTCTTCAAAGTGAGAAGTGTTAAGTTTTATTAAACTTTGAAATTTTGGCTTTGAAATTTGATACATTGAAGTATTAAAAAAAAGAGAAATAAAAAGAGAAAACCTGATTGAAATTACAAAAAATTGAAAATCTTTGTCTTGAACTAAAGGAGTTTCTTCCAGATTTGCAGTTACTTAAACATTTCTGATATTTTCTGCACTTTCTGGATAATAAATTTTCTCTTTTGAAATTTCTTGAATGAGAAGAAAACCTATCCTGCCTGTACCAGCCACACACAACACAGCACTCACTGTTTGTTTTCTGCATCATTGTCCCCTTACATCCTTACTTCTTATTCTTTCTCATTTTCTTTTGTATTTTATTTTTCTGACCCCTTTCTTGGTAAGAGCTCTAGAGCTCTCAGAGGGCAAGGGAATCTTTCCCAGAGTGCCAGTGGGTCACCCTGCCCTCCCCACCAAAGAGCACCTATAACCCCATCCAGTCAGGAGCTGGGGATGCACAGGGCAGCTCAGAGCTGCTGCAGCTGAGATGGGAACTTCTGCAGCCCTTTCCCCAAGGCTGGACTGTCCTCAGCTTCCAGTCATTCTCCATGTAAACATATTTGCATGTGAGAGGGAAAAACCTGCCCTTTGGAATGCTGTTCTCTCTCCTGTTGAAGTTTATGTTTCTTTTTATTTCCCCCAAATTAATGCAATATTCTGGGGCTTCCATTACCTGGATTTGTAGTGGGTGCCTCACAATATGTTAAACAGGATACCCAAAATGTGTCTAAGAAAAGCTACAGCTGCACAGACCATCCAGACACACCAGGGAACCTCATCTGAAGTACCAGCATTGCTGGCAGTGTCACTGCATGCTTGCCAGCCTTGTGTCATTACTTCCAGATGTAGTAACGTTGGTACTTAGTACATGCACTGGAATGAATGATAATGTAACCATTCAAAAAAATTAAATAATAGTTAGATGTGATTCTTGAAGCATTAATTTATTCTGCTTTCTGCTTTTTTTAATCATGACAAGATGCTGTATGAGCTGACGGCTCCCTGGGGAATGGGGCAGACACAGGAACAGAGGTCAGACAGCTTCAGGATGAGGCCTGGGGACAGGGATGTCAGTCTGCAAGTTGGGTCACATGGCTGGGCAGGGCTGTGGCAGAGAACAGCCCTGCCAGAGCATCATGGGGCTGAGATGGACAGCCCTGAGATGGCTGAAATGGAGTTCCACAGACTCTGAAATTTATACATTTATATAATTTCATGCTATTAAATAAATACAATGTTATTTGGACTTAGATCTAGGCTGCAAATGTGGTGTTGCCCACACCCTTTAAGATGTAGTTAGCAAAGTGCAAGGGACAGGTGCAAGAGAGGACAAGCAGTTTGGAGTAGAAAAGTTGTTTTCATGCAGACAGGCTCACCCTTGGCCTGAGGTGAGCAAGTTGTCTGTTGGCTTTCTGTTCAAGTGGTAGACAGGAAGGCAATTCACACTTGTATGGCTTGTATGTGATGGCATTAATAAGCAAGTGCTACAAATATGTAAAAAATACCGTATTCTGTGTTTTTACCAAGACCTGAGAAAACACCAGATTTATCCACTGAACTCTGCTTCCTTTTGGAATGAATGTGGCTATCCTGGTGGTACCTGAGGTTTCAGCCATTAAACTACATTCCTGCTGTCATTAATGATGACATTAGATGATGCCATTAATAGGACTGCCTTGGTTCTATCTCTGTGCAATAAACCAATCTGTTCAAGTCATCATAATCAATGCTTTTCTTCTCATACTGCCAGGTACATAACACCAAACCTAGTCTGCACTAGCTATCTCTTCTGCCCTTGCAATGTAGAAGGTCCTAATTGTCTGCTGTGGTACCCTAGAGAGCACCATGCTTAGCTGCTCCTATTGCCATTAGATTGCTGCTGGGTTTGTGGCTAGCCTGTGGCAGTCACTACTAAAACCTGGCTGACTGATGATGTGTGTCCTTACTATCCCCCAGTATATGTCTTAGTAAAAATCATTCCACTCAGATTGAGCATTCTAGCTGCCTAATGTATTTTAAAGTTATCACCCATAGCTCAAGATGACTAACACAGAGCACACTTCATCACTGGCAGGGAAAATGAGCCCTCACTTTGCTGACAAAAATTTGAAGTCGGATTAAAAGCTGACACATCCTCTATTTTAGTGGTATGTATGAAACACTAAATATAGCAGTGTGCTCATGTATTTGCTGATGCATGGTAATGTAGTCTGTAGCAGAACAGCAATGGGCTGGCAAGGAAGATGGTGCACTGCGGTAATATGATAAAATCCTCATGTGACCTTGGCCATTTCAGAAGTACTCCACAGATAATTGTGTATCCTTGACTGATATAATGCAAAATTCAAACAGGGGCAGTAGTGGTCCCAGGGCTTTAATGAGCAGCCTGATACTGCAATATTTGCCTAGGCACAATGCAAATTGACTTCAAGGAGAGGTCTCCATAGTGTAAGAAACAGAACTGTGCTATATAGCAGCTGTATATGAAAAACTGCCAACAACGGGCCTGATTCTGGGAAATGGGAGGGAGCTGGAACTCCATCTGGCTCTTGTTAGAAACTGAAGGTGCTCGATTCATCACAAAATCAAACCTGAGTACAGTACTTTCAACTGATTACATATTTTTATATTTCCTTAGTCATAAAAGGTTTTATGCTCCTGGTTTTATTTTACCTTTCCTGCAGTCCCTGGGTAGGAATTATGGGCTAATCACACTCTGAACAGGGAAATGGATGTGGCTCACAGAACCATATACCCTCTGGGATTTTCCTCTTGCTTGTGGGGGGACGGAGGGGATCTCTTTCAGCCTTTCACTTGCCATGGATGTCTGGCAAGTGTGCTGGTGGTGGAGCTGAGGCTGTGACTGTGAAACCCCTCTTCTCAT